TTCACGCTGGGTTTGCCTAGTGACCCAAGGGATTATAACACTACCGGCTAGTACCTCGATGGAAACATACTGATTGGCAGCAACTTTACAAAGAGTGGTTGTGCTTTAATGGAATATCTATTCCCAGGTAACCTTTGTATGCCTGCGGCCCCCTTCCTGAAAGTTCTCTGCACATTTCTGTGATCAGTACACAAAACAGGAGGCAAAAACACTTATAAACAGAATTCAAACAAGTTCGGGTTTAATATAAGTTGGAAGAGCGTATCCTGGGATTCGAAACTCGATTGGAGTTGCTCAATGTGCGTTCAGTATGGCTCGTCATCCTCCCGGGGCTTCTCTCTTTGTTCTGCTTGTAATAAATTTCTTTCCATATCGAAACCGTATATTTTATATCACGCTTTCATGGTAGATAACAAAGCAGTCAGTTTTTTATCAGGTGGTCCGAATATTATTTTATTAAATACTATTTCGATGATGGGGTCAATTACATACCCAAAATCGAACTACACAACGCAGCTCCTGACCACCAAGGTTTGGAAACGATGATGAAATTCGAACCACGAGCCTGGTAGTTCTAAATTACATCAATAAGTGATTATCACAAATCAAAATGAAAATTAATGGTAGTATGTATTTTAAACCCAAGCTTACTGAATTGTGGAACCGGCCCTACTGATATGACACCAAAAATGTGCCTCAATCTTCAATTCTCTCTCTCTCTCTCTCTCTCTCTCTCTCTCTCTCTCTCTCTCTAGGCGAAGCGAATCGCTTGCGTGCCATGGTCGAGTCGGCACACGCGGCTGAGGCCCATCTAACGGCCGATTATTATCACTTGCAACGACTCCACGAGAAACTGACTCGGGACTATGACACTCTGGGTCTGTCCTTGAAAGAGTCGAAAGAATCCCAGCGTCGAATGAAAAATGAACTGTCCAGTGCATATGCACAAATTGAACGGTTACAATCGGCCTCCGATCAGGTGCTCAGTTTGAAAGAAGCGCTCGAATTTGAACGGGGATCGTTGAAAGGTGAATAGTTTTGCTGTGCGAAGAAGCTATGTTCAATGGGATTGCAGAAAATAAGCAACATTTTGTTTTACTTGTTCCTAGTTGTATAAAACTCGACTCGCATTATTTCTTTCTCGTGCTGTTTATCTGGCGCAGACTGTTGCAATGCTGTGGCTGTGAAAATCAATAGACAGATAAGTTGAATTTGAATGATGAATTAGGATATGAACCGATATCCAGAATCGATAATTCAATGAACCAACTACAAACACGTGCCTAAAATGAGATGTTGCATGCAATTTGATGACATTACACATTCAAACTTGAAGCATTGACGTAAAACATCTTATAAAGCGTGATATTTTCCAGTGTCCTCTGTCACATCAGTTATTTTTAGTTCAGTGTAACCAGGCCACTTTACACTTGCTATTCGCCTTCCATCACATCGCTTGTGTTCAGGTGAAGCAAGGCAATTGGTAGTCCTCCGCGAAGATTGTGCTCGACTCCGGGCTCAAGTGGACTCGATCACAGAGAATCGTGATCGAGAACGAATGGAAAAAACGGCCGCGGTCGAACGTGCTCGCGAGGCAAAACGTCAATTGGAGGAATGTGAGAACCGGGCTGGTCGATTGACCCTCGATTTGGACAATCAACGGAACACAAATCAGAAAATTCAAATTGAGCTGGCCGATTTACGATCACGTGTTCAAGTAAGTTGGTCCGATTAGGTTCAGATCGATATGATTGAAAAATGCTCATTGATCATTGAGTGCTATTCACTAGAGTGCTTTTAAGAAAATCAATATTGGATATTAATGTTTTAAAACGATTTTTCCACAAAATTGTCACGCATTTTCAACTCATTTATGAATTTTTCTCAAAACTTCTTTTGAATAGACAGTACAGTGTTACTACAGAATATTTCACACTCATCGTCTAATTTATTTCTAATACTACATAACCCCTCACGAATCAGGTCTATCACCGATCGATGATAACTATTTTATGACCACTTAATCCATATCAATAAAATGACCATATCACGTCTCCAGTGTGGTTCGTTAACCGGGCAACAATCCATCATTAAATAGTAAAGTCATCAGTCAAATGGGTTTTGCGTTTGGAAAGTGATTTTGCAGGTCCCCGACGTAGACACGTAACAGACTAGCAGATTGATGAAAGCGATATTTGCAAGGGACAGATGTGGTGCATAGAGTAGAGATTCCCTATTTCTGCTACTCAGATTTATGACGCCAACTCGATCTAAAAGGCTCAAAAGTTGCACGATAAACGTTTAGTTAGTCAGTCTGCTATGAAGATAGCTGTGGGCAAAGGTTGCTTATTGATTTATATCGGTCCTTCACACATTGCGTGAAAGGAAAAAGATACATTCATGTGTTCCCCCGGGCAGAGAATCTTATATCCCCACTTGTTAAAATACGATACCCGCTCTCAATAAGCTCACAGTGCGAGAAAATGGCTTGTTATGCGGTTTTCAAAATTTACAAAGCGGAGTGTGAACAGGTTCATGACGTACTAAAATGTTTTCCGGTCATCACTTTGTCCGCATCACCTATTGGTTAGTGAGGTGAACCGCCATGTCGCTTTCCGACTCCAGTGTCTGGGGTCTACCATTTCTAATGGTCTTTCGCTGGTTTCATCTAATTTCGTTTTCCCGTTTGTATCTCTCGTGCCAGTTCACCTGCTCGCTTACTATAAACCATTTCCGATTTCACACTGTAACTAGGAGCTGAGTTATTTATTCATTCTGGAGATGCAGATCACACTTCTAAAATGAGTCGGAAGCAGAATTTGGGTTCCGGACCAAGTCGCTGAGGTTTTGGGATGAAAAACTAATCCAGAATAAGGATTTGCGAACTGATTCCATCTGACAACTATCTCACTCTCATACGGCTATCGAAAAATACTCGCAAGACAATCTTTCGCCTCAACCGTGTGTTCTCATTTCACGAGGGACTTATTATAGGAATGTGAGAAATATTCGTGTCTAGCACTGATGTTCATTGTGACCCCCCCCGGGCTGAGTTAGTTCTGAACGTTTTCCTTTGAAATCTATAGTCGGTGGACGCAGAGAATTCTCATTTCATCTTGTTCAACATCGAGTCGAACAGTTAAAACAATGATTTCCCGAAATGAACTTGAACAACACTACAAGCGAGTGCGACCTAATTCCGGAATTATTTTGCTGCATTGTTGTGTTCTTTGTCCAAACAAAACAGTGTCGAACTGCTGACACTCTCTTCTGATCTCATTTTATTTTGTCAGGTTCTTACTGATTTAAATTCCAAGCTGGAGAAAGATAATCGCTCGCTCGTCCTACAGCTCCAGAGTTTACTGGGCCAAAATCAGGAACTGTTGGCTTCCACACTGGAAACGTGTACGCACCGCGTTGCTGAGGAGGGATCGTTGCGGTGAGTCGAAATTTGTCTTGTTTCGTGGGGTCTCACGCTCTATCTCTCTCTCCCAAACATGCGGTTTACTACGCAAATACTCGCACAACTGACACGCTCGTAAAAACATCACGTTTACGACTTAAGTACGCAGTTCATGTGTGATTGAGCAAACAAACAAGAGTACTGCTACAATCACGATTAGTGATCAATATTAGATCTTTACTACGAATATCACCGAGTGAAATTCGTCTTTTGTAAATCAAATGGACCCAGTTATTTGTTATACATATGCTTATTCATACGATTTATCGATCTTCTATGGGTGACCCGTCTGTGATTGGTGGATGAATGGGCGAAAGAAGCATCATGTGGTCATGTCCCCCAAGAGATGAAGAACTAGTTGCGGGGTGACATCGCTGATTGTGATCGCCTTTCTCATCTAGTACGACACTACCTGTCTTTT